TATAACATTTTATATATTTTATTAACATTTTATTAATTATATTGATATATTAGTAATCTGATTTAGTTTTGAGGGTTTTGCAAGAAATGGTACTAATGTCAGTATTGTCGAAGATATTCCAATCACAGCTATTATTTTTTATTTCTCTAATATTACTCCATTTAGTCGTTTACTAATAATAAACACAGTAAACATTGGTGTTTATGTTATTTTAAAAATGGAACTTTTTAAAGAGCATTTTCAGTATGCGTTGCTCTTGTTTTTTAATCAGAAATGGCGGCTGAAGGTCATAGAATTCTAAAACTTATGATGATGTTGTTCCATCAAGTTGCTCCAAAAATGTGAATATTGGTTCTGTCGATTTAAAAGTGGTGATTTCAATGTTAATGACAAAAGCTAGAAATTGCAGATTTGTAAGCATTATTAGACAAAGTACAATCCACATCAGAATTTGCCAGAGAATTAAATGTTGATCGTACAACAGTTATTAAACGTTTACGTGATATGTTTAAATAAATCAATTTTTTTAGAAAAAAAATCCTCAAATGAGCTAAATTTCACTCCTAATAATTTATTATTTATTTTTTCAATTGTATCGAATACTTAACTATTAGGCACAATCTTAACACTGTAGTCATACTAGCGATTGCTGATTGCGATTGTGATTGGCGATTATTTTTTAATCAATTAGAGCAACGTAATCGGGGACCGTTTTGTTCTGGTTGATTGAAAACTAATCGCTAATTACAATCGCATTTCAACCGACAATTGCTGCTAATGTGACTACAGTTTAACGTCATGATTCATGAATATCTGGATGGATTTGATATGTTCGACATTTGAAAATGCTTAAATCAGAACTCAAACGGATTAATGATACGTAATGTATTCTAAATTCTAATATTCTAATGTATACCTAATATATTCTCTTGCGCATGAAAAATCTAGTTCAGAGGATCGGAGGGAGAGGAAGAGGAAGAGGAGGAGGAGGAAGGTGAGGGTGAAGAGGAAGACGAGTCGGACACCCACGAGGAAGAGGAAGAGGAGCTCGACGAGATCGACATGGAAGTCAGTTATTCCCATCATCCGCAGAGGTCTAGTCCGACGGATACGGTGACCGCTCCCGTATCCATCCGGATGATCAACGCATCGAATTTAACTCGTTATTCTTAATTTTTTTATATTGATTCAAATGTACATATTTGTGATCGCGAGTCTCGTATAATTATTTCTAGTGAAGTAACACATTTTATTCAAATAAACTAAGTTAATTAAGTTTTGTGACTAATATAATTTTAATGCGAATTATTTATAGTTCTACATAGCTCGATGATATAAACATTCTAAACGAATAAAGATCTATATCGGTTTTCTATTCCTAACTGTCATTTTCTTTCTTTTTTTCTTGACAACAAAAAGTCGCCACGCTTTTTCCAAACTTAATTTTTTTATCGCGATGTTACCGTCGATTTCATCGTTCAGCGAGCGGTCAGCATTTCGAAATTGAAATTTTGCCGCTCTCTCGCTCGCACTTGGGTTTAGGTCAAGAACCCGACTGATGGCAGCCGTAAGCCAATGTCGTCTCTAAGCGGTGCAAATTCCATCATGACGATGGAAATTGCACGATCAGCGAATTTGACGGCGCAAGGCGTTACGGGCGCTTCTTCGCGGACCGAAGCCTCCGCTCTTTCAGGCTGGAAACAGTCGACGGAGTATTACTTGCGGACAGTAATGTCTTCATTCCTAGCGTCGAGAGCCTCTTTCCAAGAGAAGAGCGACTCGCGCTTCGTCCTGAGCGGTCGAACAAAAGCATCCGTCCTTTTTCCTTGCCTTCACTCTCTCTCTCTCTCTCTCTCTCTCTCTCTCTCTCTGGAACGGGCCGGTGAAGTCGATACTACCTCGTTCACTCTCTTTCTCACTCTTTCGCAAAGGGCCGTGGAATCGCGTCGTATTCGACCGGGACACTCTCGGTACACTCTCCGTGTACCCATCTATACTAGGTGTAAGTACATCCGAGAATGTATTATATGTCTTTATACAAGGTGTCCCAAAATATGCGCTTAAAGACTCTATAGCGAGAGAGTGAAAAAAAAATCAAGTAACGCACGGTCGTGACTTTTCAATCCCGGTAGTAGTAGTCTTCTTTCCCACACACAGGTTTTAATTATGCTTAATCGTAAGCAATAGTTAAACAATCATACAATGATGTTAATTACCTCCTCGTTTACGCTAGAAAAAAACACTGTCATGTCAGTGACTCTGAAAAACGGACGATGACAGATTATCCAAGTACAAATGTTTGGCCAAATTTGAAATGCTCTTACGGTACAATAAAAAATTACTATTCGGAATAAGAAATCATGTGGACGCTTTTGTCACTCAATCTTTCACGATCTTTTCCGTATTTTTAGATTCCGATCTTTTCTGGTGCGAACATCCGGACATATGTATCTGTGCACATGTTTTATACGTATATGCTTTTATATACATCTAGTTTTATGTATATAGATGCACACATTTTTACACACACACACACACACACACACACACACTATATGCATGTATACATATACACAATGTGCCAGCTCTCCCGGCGTGTAACTGAAGTAAAGCCAGGTTGGTGCCCCCGCTAGGGTGAACGAACGGGTACGCTCAGGCAAAAGCGAACCCGTGTGCCTCCTCCTTCGCCGCCATCACCACCTCCTCCTCCTCCTCTAGCAACAACGTTTTCCTCCTCTTTCTTCTCCCCCGGAGATCAGACGGAGATCGTCACTGTGGATTCTTGTGTGAAGCGAAAAATGCAAAAATCGACTGCTCACTGAATAGGAATTTTGTGGAGTTGCGATCACCGGCACGAAATCAAACGCGCATCATTCGTTTGCATATTAAATTGTACAAGCTGCACGATATCGATCTACTGTGTTTGGTATCGTGCTCGTGCCAACGCGCGATAAAGTCTCGCGCTGGTAATTCAGATAATTCAGCGTGATCGTACCGCTCCGATATGCATTTCTATATATTCTAAACAAAGTGCAATCAAAGTTGATTACTTCGCTGATTACTTAATTGATCTGTTTATTATTACTTATTATATATATTACTTACATTTTCTTAGAATGTCTTAGATAATGAAAAAAATTATACAGAGAGGTGATTAATTTCAATAAAATTAAATTATTTAGGATATTAGAAAGAGCTTTCTGATTGATCAGATGTATATCTTCGACACTTGCGCACTAATAACTTACTGTGTGTATGTGTTTTAAATACCATGTCTTAAATTCTCATGAATATATTGTTATCAAAAGTTTCTCATATTTTTTGTTGATTATTGTTCTTTCCAACAATTTTATTATTGATTTTTAGTATGATTTTAATTGTAGATATATTAGAGATTACATTATGCAATTTCGATATTTCTAATAGTGATAGCAGCGCATAATAGGATAGAAGTTAAATCTAATAGTTAAATCTAATAGGATAAAAGTTAAGTGTCTAATAGTGTTTAGAATTCAAAAACAACGAGAAAAAAAAATAAAAGATAAAAGTTTTTTTCAAATGTGGTGGAGGACTTTGTAGCCCGTTGATCAGAATTATTTTGTTGTGTACTTACTGTGTAGTTTTCTGTTTCTCGAAAGATTTTTCATCATTTTTAAACTATTCGAATTCTGTGCACGCGATAAGATAATAATGGAATAATTATTTCAATAATTCGAATATTTATTTTTCAAATATTTATATAAGATTAGGAATATAAATTTTATCAGAATATATTATAAATATTCACGAATTCGTTAACAAGGCAGATTTTTTTGTTTTGTTTTAGTTTATATAATGAAAATTTAAATTTTATAGAAAATATACGTTAAAATCTGTTATTTAAAATTACGTTATGTGAATAAATCTAGATTTTTTTTATGTTTTTAAAATAGATTTACGTTTAATCTTTCTTTAAAGAAAAAAACGTACATTTTTTTATTTAATTATCCGTAATTCGAGAATTAAATTGCTGTGAATCTATCATCATAGCTTTTAATGTTAAAAATGTTATTATAATATTTTCACGTATTGAAATATTTGCTTTCTAAAGTAAATTTATATTCTTGACGTAAGATAGAGAACCATGAATTCCTTCTAGTTACGCTCAACTAAGCTGGATTAGAATTCTGTAATTTGCCTCGGATGATATTACGTTTTCAAAGACAGTTGCGCACGCACAAAGTACCTAAGCGTTCAGAACGCGCGTATAAATCCCGAGATTTATGAATCGCGAGTTTCGCGGATAGTAATACCGTCTAGATTTATGAATTAATACTGGTCATATTAGACGCATAAATCTTGACGTTTAGGCAGATGGAATTGTCTGTGTAGAATTATTTGACAGTCTCGAGATTCTCCGGCAATTCGTTGGTAGATTATAGCGTGTTGTCTTTCGGGGACTTTTTTAACCATACTATTTATTTCTTCAAATCCTTTAAATCCTTTGTGCGTAATCTTTAACGTATATTGAAAATAAAGTATTTGGTATTTGTGACTATAATTGCATGATAAAATAATTATGAATAATAAAATCGAATAATTTAGAAGATACAATAATATCCGTGAAAGCCTAAAAAGCGTTATCAAGTAAGAACTTTTAATTCATATTTTCAATACCAGCTGTAGTATATTTTTCTACATTTACCCTGATAGAAATTTTTTATTGAAATTGTAAAGAATAATAAAGTATTATTCTTATTGCATATTAAAATCTATATCAATCTTGATCTACTTTCAGTATCACTTACCATCAATATTATTCAGTATTTTACATTAAGATTTCATTAACAATTCAATATAAAACATTAAGATTATAAAGAATTCGGTAAATTTTAAAATAAAAATCAATAAACGCAATGAATTTAATGAAAAGTTATTCATATCGAGGGATTCCTGTTTATATAATCCAAAAACTATTTACAGGACATCTTGTAGGCTGTAAAATGAGCCTCATTATGACTTACATACATCTATTGGACATTAAAATTCGTAATCCTTTGGACAATTCTATTATTCTGTAAGATTGAAATATTTCGTAAAATGTTATTATTCATTAGCTTTGTTGGTACCAAAATACAATCATGTCTCGGACTAAATATAATATAATATATACGAAAATGTAACATATGTATCTTGTACAAATGTAAATAATGATATATCTGAGTTTCGGTTAAAGATCTATAGAAAGCTTGAAATTTTATGTACGATAAACGTTATCATCTAGTAGCAATTCTGGAAAGAAACTGTTATGAATTCAACACTTTTCGTTAGAATGCAAACTGATTTTCATATTTTTTCGCAAGTTAGAACAACTTTAATTTGTCTATTTTTTTGTCCATTATTAATTCCATTATTTTAATCCTATTGTTTCTTTTTTGGTAACTTTCATTAATAAATCTGTAAAAATAATATGTGTTTTTTGTTTCAATGTCATTATTTTTCAAATATTTTCATTAATTTTCCTTAGAATTTATAATATTTTAGCATATTTCAGTGTATAAGTAATAAATTCGTAAAAATATTACATATTTTACACTACTTACTTTTTATTTTTTTCGTGCATCTTTAAGCATTATCTTTAAAGTTCATAGTATTCCAGCAAAATTCAGTGTTTAATTTTTCTTGAATAAAAATTTATAAAAATATAAAACATATATTTGTATTATTTTTCGTTATTTTTTATTATTTTATTTTAATTAATTATCTAAATTAATTATCCAATTTTATTATATATACAATTAATAAATAATTACAGTGTATAAAAGAAATCACACTAACAATAATTAAGAGTAGACAAACAGAAGAAAAAATGTTTTAAAATACGTATAATACATAGAAAAATCGTTAGAATTATGTTAACATTAATATCAATTGCAGGTAAAAACTGAACAAGTCAATAAATCAGTGCATATTAAAATACAAAACTATAAATATTTACCTTCTTCTGTCAAACTGTTGTAAGTCAAAAATTAAAAGAGTAATGCAATAAACACAGAAATTTTATAAGCCATTGTGCTGTATTAGAGCAGAGAAATTTGCAGCATCGACAGTGTCTGACAACGTTATGAGTTAAAAAGGAGACAAATAGACGCGGAGACAGTAATATGTGGAAGGAGGAAGGAAAGAAGTATTATAGGAAGGGAAGAAAAGGAATGTATGATGTTAGAATATGTTT